TGGTCATTAGTAAGAGTGACTATAGTTTTTTATGAGATTATCAGTTATAGATGAGTTGTTTATCTTACAACAATGTCCATTCTCACTGTATATTGGTATAATTGATTTGAGTACATATTGGCCATGTATAATTGTTCAAATAAAATTCAAAGAGTATTGATATGTATAAAATAAATCTTTATATAATGCAATGTAATATAGTATATATTGGCCATGTATAATTGTTCAAATAAAATTCAAAGAGTATTGATATGTATAAAATAAATCTTTATATAATGCAATATAAGTATATACAGTATAAGTTCAAATAAAATTCAAAGAGTATTGATATGTTGGAATTTTAAGAGTTAATATAGTATATAAGCCATGTATAATTGTTCAAATAAAATTCAAAGAGAGATAGATTATAAATGCAAGTTTTAATACAGAAAGATAAGGTATGTGTGTGTATGTTATGTGTAATGTCATGCATTGAAAGTTTTGAAGTAAATATGTGTGTGTATGTAACATGCATTGAAATAGTGAAGGAAGGTGTGTTTGTTTTCAATGTAGCAAGGATGGTTTAGCCATATAAGTCTGCCAGCAAATGTCATATTTCCCCTCTGGATATGTTTTGATGACAGCAGCATTCGGGAATAGACAAAATTAACTTAGCAACTCTGGTTTTGGTTGAGTTTCCATCTGTTTATATATACATCTATAGATCTACTTTGAAAAGCCACTAGCCAAAGAGAAGTGAGAAGCCTTGTCAAAGATTTCTGATTGTTTGGCCAAACTACCTATTTTTAGAGATGGTCAAATTTTGGTCAGCTTGTTATTATTTGTTTATTTCCTTTCTTACATCCTGGTTGTGAAAACTCTCTGATTGGTTGGTTGAACTATGTCTTTATTAGCCTGGCAATTTTTATTATCTGTCTATTTTTTTGTGATGGTAAAATGTTGGTCATCTTTTTATTATTTATTTTTCTATCACCACAGGATATCTCTAGATGCGAGATGCAAATTAAAGATATCAGAATCAAGTCAGTACTGGGAAGCACTTTAACAGATGATAGAAAAATGTAATACAGAAATTGAAAGGCATATTGTAATAGTGAAAGGTACATTCCAAGCAAAATATTAAGAAATTGGAAAATTTAATTACAAACAAAGAAAAGTCTCGTGAACTTCTATGCAATATCAATCCTCTATATCAGTCAAGGTAATGGAGATATCATTCTACAAAAGGATGCTGAGAATATCATAGACAGAACATATTAACAATGAGGAAGTTTTAAAGAAAATGGAAACAAAAAGGATACTTGTACTGAGAATCAGAGAGAGAGAGAAAGTTGAAATTACTAGGGTACATAATAAGGAAAGAAGGCTTGGAGAATTTAGAACTCACAAGACATACTAAAGGCAAGAGGGGCAGATGGAAACAGCAAGTGGGAGGAATAGTAAGAGGACAAACAATGTTAACAGCTACAAAGGATAGGAAGATGTAGAGAGCCATGATCGCCCACATCTGGAAGTAAGAGGAGCTAGAATTCTGGAAATTAGAACAAGGTGGGGGTACAAAATTGTCATCCTGTCACCTAAAAATCTTAAAAGATGGAGAGGATTCTTTTTTTTTTGGAGAGTGTACCCAGAATTAAAAAAAAAGGATGGAAAATTATATGAGGTTGTGAAAGAAGTATTTGATTAATTAAACTTGTAATTCCAAACAAATGAATGGAAAAAAAATTCTTTTTCTTTTTTAATCTAACCTTCAGTTGATTAAGAGCAAACCATTTATTGATAAAGGGGGTTAATTTTTGTTAATTCCTTTCCTTAAAATGAGAACATAATATTGTAATGGTTTATTTCCATTTTCTCTTCTGTTTTTGCCCCCTTTCTCTGACCAAACAATCTTTTATTTCACTTACAATAAACTTTGCAAGTTTTATGAAATGAAGCAAAGTGTTTGGCATCTCAGCACACAGTTTTATAACGACGGACAATTAAAAATTTTTTTTTAATTTCACTTGGAACTGCCATCTTGTTCATAAAGAGTTACTCATTCTGTACGATTAGGAATTAATTCCTGGCATTCTTTGAATGGTTCATTCTATTTCTGACAGTTTTACAGATGGAGATGCAAAAATGGATTATATGTCATCGTATGGCAATTGCAAAAGGTTGTTTTATGCACTAACATATGTTTGATTAGTCATAGAAGTAACAGTACCAGAAACTAACACTTACTACTCAGCAAGGCCTTAATCTTCACTGGGGATTGATTCTTTCATATTTGAAAAGCTCTTTTTTTCAATATCTTACTGAAGCAAACAAGTAATAAAAAACTGAATCCAACTGATGATTGCTGGTGGTAGACAAGAAAGTTCTTGAACTTATTCTCAAAGGTATTGTTAAAAACTTCAAAACAAAGAACCAAAAAAATACAAAAAATAAAGGAATGATTGACAGTGGAACAGGATAAAGCAGAAGTTAAAACTGCATTCTTCAGGACTTTACTATAAATAAAAATAAGTTCAATTACTGTAGTTTTCTTTCCAGATAAAAGTACCAGTTTGTGTTTCTTTAGACTAACAGTAGTAGTGGTACTTAGTAACAGAATGTGTATAAACTACAAGAAGTAAAACGATATTAAATATTACATATTCAAAGGAACATAAAACCAAATTCCCCCACCTGTATCTCAGAACTTCAGAAACTTATAAAAAATGGGTAAAAAAAAGACACTAGTTTTATTTTTTATTATTTTATTATTCAGTCAAGCTAGCTTGAACACTTCATGAGCCTTGCATCAAGGTCAGAAGGTCATTAGGTTGGCATTCTGTGTCATAACATAGCTGGTGAGTGTAGGTATTTGCTTAGCAACCAACCCAACTTGTGTCATGGCTAGGTGTCCAGAGCAGTAGATCACTCGCAACTTCTTGTTTTGCTTACCAAAGCACATTCAGCTTTCACTTAAGATTGTTTTAAAGAAAAAAGGAATCAACTGTAGTTAGGATCACCAAGTCAATTGCAAATGATCCTTTCCTTATTTGCATAGTGCATGCTTTGCCATAGCTACATACAGTTTTAAATTCAGAGTTTTTCTTTCTCCTAGACCAGTTGCCACCCAAGGCTATAGAACCCCATCTGTCCTACTTTTTTCCCATAGCTGGGTGGAGGAGAAGAGTTGGATTCATACCTTTCTTAAGGGTATTAGCATGTAAGTGATTCTAATGAACTTGACCAGATTTTGAACTCGGCTCTCTCATTCCTCAGTCCAAGCCACAATCTATTACTCTACCATGCTTCTGTTATATACCATACCTATGAACACTAATGGGTATATCCTAATCTCCCACTTACAATAGTGTCCAGCTGAAATATGTTGGACATTATTGTAAGTGTGTGTGTGTGTGTGTGGGGGGGTAATATGATGTCTAAGTAGTCCACCACAAGCAGTGGTTAACCTACTTCACATTGCTGGTGAGTATTGCATTTTGTTGATGTTATAAAGTTTACCATTTCATTTCCAACCTGTTTTGGTTATTCCTCATTCAATAACCCTTTTTAGGTTACAACAAAAGTGCACCAGACTGATCCCATCATGGGGAAATCTGACATTGTCTGAGGCAGATCCAGCTGGTTTCCTAATCCAGGGTAAGTGTTGGGTTCATCACTTTGAACAAGAAACAATCCATGCAGTAGAAACACTCCTTCTCACCTGCTCAAAGGAAGGCCAATGTCATTTCATCTGCAGAGAAGGGATGTCCTTAGTTTTTTGGCTTCACTGTCTGCTGTTTGTGACTGTGTCTTTGAACTGGTTGATCACCATTCATTCCTATTCTCCAGATTTGGCCCCATCTGACTATCATCTGTTCCTCAAAATGAAGAGAAACACTTGCTGGGAACCAATATTGTAATGATAATGACATCATATCTGCTGTTGATGAATGTGTTTTTGTATCAACAGAATGAAAGCTTCTTCACCAATGGAATCCAAGCTCTGCAACTCTGATGGAAGAAGTGTGAGAACCACAAGTGGGACTATGTTGAAAAATAAAAATCAATTGGGCACATTCCATGAGAGTGTCTTATGAACTTTTCAGCCAGCTCTTGTATATGAGCAGGTGGCCAAGTGGTTACAACATTTGCCTTCTAACCATGAAACCTGGGTTCAAATCTCACTATGGTCAATTTTGTTATTGGCTTGAGGAGGCAATCCCAGTATGCATCACCATTGGAAAATGCCTGAGAATCATACAATCGATTGACCTAACGTATGTGTGTGAAATTATGTAGACAGAACCGTTCAGATGCCATCAATGGTCACGTTAGTATGTAAGTCACAAGTCATTATGACTTAGGATTTAAGCATATTAGCCTTGTTCAAAATATTGACCTAAGGTATGTGTGTGAAATTATGTAGACAGAACCGTTCAGATGCCATCAATGGTCACGTTAGTATGTAAGTCACAAGACATTATGACTTAGGATTTAAGCATATTAGCCTTGTTCAAAATATTGATCATACTGGATTGTGTACTCACTCCAAGGTCTACTCAACATAGTTGCAGTATAAACCACAGGTGGGTTCAGTGGGTTGAATAGATATCTGTTATGGGATTGGGCAAGCCACCCTAGCAGATAGGTGTACTCAGAAATGGATTCAGTTACTTACTGGAGTGGTACAGGAAACTGACTATTTTTCCTGCATCTTTATAAGTACAAGTTCTACTTAAGGTCTGTGATGAGTTCGAGGCCCAATAGTCACTCATGTATTTTCATTTATAATGTATAATTATACTTTATTATGCGCAAACTATTGCCTTAGGTTTGCTGACAAAGAATTTAAGTTGTTAAGAATTAAAACAATAAAAAACAAAAACAAAAAAACAATGACTTTCTCAGTAATCCTTTTTCAATTTCTTTAATCCAGTACTAGTTACTAATTGAAGTGACTATCTACTAAGTTTTGAGTAGATATACTAAATCTGTAACTGATATCATCAACTTCTGCTATAATGAAAGCTGTTCAATATTTGATATCTATTTCCTCACTTTTGATGTGGCCCTTTTACCAGCTCTGTCAAAAAGACAAGAGGGAGCTTTTTAACACTTATCTCCCTCTCCATAATGATACCCAAGACAATTGCAGCACATGGCTACTATATCTAATGTCTGTCAATGCAGATGAGGGTCAAAATCTTGCATTGATTGAATTAGTTTTTTTATGACCCCAAAAAGCTGTTCAACTTTTTGTCCTTGAATATATATTGCCACCCCTTTAAGAAAGAAAACTTAAATCAGATCAAGTGGTATGGAAGTTGATAGCTTTCTTAACATTTAGCACTCTGCATTATTAATATTATTTCCCTTTCTACTGTATTCTTTTTCAAGGCTTCTCAGTTTCAGTAATCTTATTGTTAATTTCACTCAAAGGTGTTTTCTGTTGCCATTGCAGGATATGACAATACAACAATTGTCATATAGGACATATATGAATGGAATCATCAGTTAATATAAATAAACGGTGTCAAAGTTAGAATTAGGTCCATTGCTAAGTGTACCTTTGTATAATAAACCTTCTATTTCATTATTTACCTACAAGTTTGTCTTCCTTATTTATTTCTCTCTGTTATCTCGAAAACATGAGATACAACAAGTATGAAGTTAAAAAAAAAATCAAATCCAGGGATCAGAGTCACCTTCAGTAACATGATGAAGTCATAAACAGAGTGATGAAGATTAAGGGCACTTGTTTCAATTACTGTGACAGATCTGTTTGGCCAAACCCTATCCACTATACTGCTAATTGCTCCTAATATGATGGTGGCAAGGAGGTAAGAGAAACAGAAACTGGTTTGTCAATGGCATATTGGCTAGACCACCAATGCATACTCAGCTACAAGCCAACATGTATGTCATAGTTGTGGTTTAGGTATCTTGATAATTTGGGTGATGGCATAAACGGTGTTGTTTCACAAGATGCCAGAAAAAAATGCTTATGATGGGAATGTTATTAGAATGAGCAATACAAATGCAGAAACATATATACCTATGTTTTATAGACTATACAAAAGCATTTGATAAGTTACAACCCAATGACCTATTTGAACTGTTAGGAAAACTTGATTAATTTGCTGAAGATATTAAAATAATCTGGAATGTTTACTCGGGACAATCTGCTTGCATGGGGATAGAAAATGAATTGAGCAAGTACACAAAATGAGACAGGGACTTAAGACAAGGATGTATCTTCTCACCAGATTTATTTAGTCCAGGTAGGCAATACAAAAAGAACTAGAAGTCCTACCAGGATTTATTGTTGCTGGGCACAGTCTTAACAACATAAGATACACAGATGACACTATGTTGATGACAGATGCAGAAAGAAAACTTCAAGAACTCCTAGACAAGGAAAGTGGGAGAAAATTGTAAAGGGAGAGAATGTCTGGTAGTTAGCAGATGGAACAGCCCAAGATATGAGCTAGGAACAGAATGTGTCAGAATCAAGTAATACAGATATTTAACTATTACAGAAACGTTATAACAGATGATGGGAAAGGTGATACTTAAATCCAAAGGCACATTAAAATAATGAAAGATGACTTTCAAAAGCTAAGTAATGTATTAAAAAAACAGAAAAAAAATTCATTGGAATCAAAGAAAACAGCATTAAACTGCTATGCATATCAATCCTCTTATGTGGTAATGAATGTTGAACAATGTCCTCACAGATGAAGAGAAGATGTGGTTCTACAGGAGGCTACTGTGAAAAACAAGGAAGTTTGAAGGAAAGTGAAAAAAAAGAATGCTTAGAATCAGAATTTCTAGGATACATAAAGAGGAAAGAGGACTTAGAGTATTTGACACTTACAGGACATATTGAAGGCAATAGAGGAAAAAAGCAAATAACCTACCTAGTGAGCTCAGGTAAATGGATGGTAGAACAGGGACTGAGAGGAATAGTAAAGAAAAAAAACCTTGCTACAAAGGATAAGAAGTTGCACAGAGCTATGACCCCCACACCCAAAAGAGAAGAATTGTAACAGTGTAGATACAGGAAAGTTTATAGTAACAGTCATGCCTCTTGTAGAAAAATATAAGAGAAAAATTGAAATAAAAAGGACAGTTATACACAGAATCAGAAAGAGATAGCTAATATTTCTTGGATACATAATGAGAAAAGAGGGTTTGGAGAATTTGACACTCACAGGACATATTGAAAGCAACCTACCTAATGAGTTTGAATGGATAGCAGGACAAAGACAAGGAGGAATGGTAAAGTGTCAAAGGATACTTAGCTGCAAGTGAGAGGAAATTGTGGAGAGCCATGATCAACCACATCTGGAAGGGATTTGGTACATAAAAGAAGAGAAAAATGCAAAGAATTTTACACCCATAAGAATGAAAAATGTCTTTCACATGTTTCTTAGACACCTAATGATGAAAGAGGGCTTGGAGAATTTAGCACTCATATGTCATATTGAAAACAAGAGGAGCAGAGGTAACAGCAAGTAACCTATCTAATGTGTTTGTTTGAATGGCTAGCAGATGGACAAGGAGAGATGGTAAAGAGTAACATGATGCTTAGAGCTACAAGTGAGAGGAAATTGTGGAGAGCCATGGTCAACATCATCCAAAAATGATTTGATATATCAAAGAATGGAAGGAAGGTTTTCAGATCCTTAACAAGAAATGTTTCATATGCATTTCATGGAGGAAAGCAGGCCTGGAGAATCTGACACTCACAGGACATATTGAAAACAATAGGAAGAGAAAGAAACAGCAAGTAACCTACCTAACAAGCTTGTTTAAATGTTTGTCAGAACAGGTACTGGGAGGTATAGTAAAAAGAAAAAAAAAAAGCTTAGAGTTCTCACCGACATGACATGGCTTCCCCTCTGTCTTTTCTACAAATATTTTGATGGCAACTGCTCTGATTGATTTTTTTTCCTGGTGACACAACTACAGGAACTTAAGCATGCTACTAGATTGGCAGTTAGATCTCACCATTTTACTGCTGAACACACAGCTACTATTTTTACTCTGTTTCATCCCTTGCACTTTCCCCTAGGTGGAACTCCCTCCCTATTTCTTACTTCCCTGATAACTACAATCTTCCAGAATTTAAATGCAATGCCAATCGCCATCTTCTGTCTTCTTGAATCCTGTTTCTTTCTAAGTCTTCTCATTCTCCTTCACTTTCACACCCTGTAACACCCTGCATTCTAGTCACACTGCCACATTGCTTGGGGTGAAAGGAAAAAAAGAATCAGAAAAAAAAAAAAAACAGAAAAAAAAGAGATACAAAGGTTAAGAAGTTGTGGAGAGCTATGATCCCCATGCCCTGAAGAGACATGGCACATTAAAAATGAATTGTAACAGTGTAGGTATAGGAAAGTTTATGATAAAAGTCTTGCCCTGAGTAGAAAAAATTAGACAGAATAAAACTGGTAGCAATGAGTTTAATGGAGTGGTAGTGATGGCAGTAGTAGTGATGAAGGCATTGACATTGGTAGTAAATGCAGGGGGCTCAGTGGTATGGGCAGGGTCAGTTGTATGGCAGTACAGATCCCGGACTTGTGTCTTCTAATCTGATAGATTATATACAGCAACATTCATGAATATCTCAAGTCGGGGGAAAATCATTTGTATTGTATTTCATTGCATTTTCCATTGCAATTAATCTTTAATTCTTTTTCAAGGAATCCACTAAAATGACAGCTCTCCAATATTCCCATTATTCATTAAGCTTTGGCATTAGTATCTGCCAGTTGTCCTTTCTTAGTCCAACCATCTAGTCACCACGTCTACATAAATGTGTGTATGCGTGGACATGATTGGAATTGTGCGTAAATTTGCTGTCATTGTTTTTACGAGATTATAGTACCTTTTTTTTTTTAATTTCTTTTACTTTATTTTTTTAAACATTCCTGTCTCCAAAGCTGACATTCTTCTCGGTTATTTATTTTTTTTCTATTATTATTTACACTGTTAATACAATTAACACTACTATTAAGGTTGGTCGTTGTTGTTGTTGTTGTTGACATCATTGTAGTAGTAGGGGTAGTGGCAATGAGGTGGGGGGGGGCAGTAATTTTTTTTTTAACATTTTCTTTTTTTTTTCAGTTTCTTCTTTTAACCCTCACTGATTTTTCTTCTCCCTTTTCTCCACTATTTTTCTTTATTTCTTTTTTTCCTTCAACACTCCCACCATCATCAATATTATTAGCTTTGTCACTTCTTCAAATTTTACTGTTTTTTTTTTTTTTTTCTTTTCCTTCCAACTTGTCATCAAACTTTTCTTTTCATAAAATATAAACAAAATTCACAGTGATTTACAAAACCAGCATAATAACTGTCCATTCGATGACTATTCTTATATGCCTAATAGAAGGTGGGGATGTTTATTATTTTGAGGAAATCTTCTGTCCTCCCACCTGCAAAACCTATGAAACCCCCCTCCCCATCCCTGTTTATTAATTTCCCCAGAGTTCAAACAGGAAACTGGTTATTAAACTTGATTTAAGTTTTTACTAGTTTTTATGATTGCATTGTTTAAAAATACTACTTTTCCATGGTTCTTCACAATCATCTCTGTCAGAGGGAAGAAAGGAAATAAGGAGAGAGAATGATGATCCCAATGCCTGGATGTGAACGGGGGCCAATGACAATTACCATGTTCCATTCTTTGATAAAATATGTTTTTTTTTAAATACGTTTCTTTACCTAAATTCTAAATTTTTAAGCCTTTAAATAATTCTCTAAATCCCCCTTTTATTAAGACCCTCACCTCCCCATGTTTATTGCATATTAGGAAAAACTCCAACCCCATTGATTACAGAGAATCCCTCCTTTGATTTTAACATTTAATTTTTAACTTTGGTAAATTATTCTGAGAATACTATGGGCTGAACATGTGAGAAATGATGAAGTTTTAGAGAAAAAGGTAACAAAAAGGAGACTTATATTTAGCATCAGAAAGAGACAGTTGAAATTTATAGGCCATATAATGGGGAAAGAAGGCTTAGAAAATTTGACCCTCATAGGATATATTGAAGACAGGAGAGACACAACATATAGAAGAAGAAGAATTCCTAGCTATCTACAGCCTGTCTGAAGTTGTTATGCAAATCAAATAAACTTCAATAACTCAAAAAGGTTCTGAACCAATACTTTTCAAATTTAAACTCATCCATTTCTGACCTTAGTAAAATATATAACTAAATTTTTGCATTTTGCAGTTAGTATGCAGATTAAACTAATATTAGCTTAAGATGTCTGAAATCCAATAAAAACTATTTTTTTCTTTTTGTCCATAAAATATGTTGAAATATGGATAAAGGGAAGGATCTAAGAACTGCTGAAAAACAAAAAATAACAACGGTTAAGGCAGCGGGGAACTTTCAGAGGGAAATTAACAGGAGATAACTGATAACTGACATACAGTAAACATGACACGTGAACCTAGAACAGTCTACCCCAGTGAGTGAAATAAAGGGTTCAGTTTGACATTCCAACCACCTGAAGAAGGCCGAAGCATACAACGGCTGAAACGTTGTAATAAATATGGTGACAAAGATGAGGACAATAGTCCAAATAATGTAAATAATATATATATATATATATATATATATATATTGAGAGACAGAGACAGAGAGGTGTGTGTGTGTGTAGTCCAATTTTTTAAAAGCTTAGTCACATGTCACCTGTGCAGTCACAATTCCAACAGACTCCTTGCTTAACAATGATGATTGCTAAGAAAGAGACATGCAACAGATAGAAGTTTTCAGTTAAAATTATTGCAGCTTAACTCACCAGTAACTTTAATAGGTTACTGGTTTATATCCTTGTACCATTAGAAACCCCTCAGTTTTTTTTTGGCATAGACTTGATAATATTCTAGAAGCCCTCTTGGAATTTAGGTCTATGCTGTTATCATAGAATACTGTAACTTTCCTAGATTGGTTAGCTGAATATCCAGGATTGAAATCTTACTTTCCCTGGCATTCCAAAGAATCTAACTGGATCCCAAAGAATTCCACTGGAATAAGGAATTGAAATCCAGGAACTGAAGAGGCCACTCCAGCATTGAAAACTCATTGCTGAGGTCAATGAACCAATCTGCCACTATTTTTGATTTGTGACACAGAACATTGAATGATGAGGAAGCAGCCATAAGTGCATGTCTGCAATGTAACCAGCCACAATACCTTGGCTGGTTATGACATTTAAACAATCATTTATTGGTACAAAGGGTCTATATATATTCCAAGAAAATATTCATATAGTCATAAATTGAGGTATATGGTCAGTTACAATAAGATACCACATTCAACGTTACTTAAATCACTTCTCTTTCCTATTTTAATGGATGAAATGAGATTAAGCAGACCACTATGGCCATTTTTAAATGCTTATATCCACTAAATCACTGACATGTGATTGGCTGATTAAAAATGTGTGTAAAAGAGTATTTGTTTATGTGTACATTATTAAGTGGTCAGTAAGTGTATATCTTCAGCTATTGCTGATTGATTGTTAATTTATTTTTTTACAGCTTATCAACCATTTACAGGTTATTTAAAGCCAGGAACTATTTTTGGATTGTAAGAAATATTTGCAGATTGTAAGTATTTTTTATTTTTAGATAGTAATGTTTTAGTGATAAAAGTCTTAGTAATTAACCCATAGCTGAGGGAGAAGAAGTGGATTCATATCTTTCCCAAGGGCATTTGCATGTAAGTGAATATAACAGACACAATGGTAATTGGAACTTGATACTCCAATTAATGATTCTAAGTCATTACAGCACCTGATATTCTCAAGTGGTTATTAATCTAGGTACTGACCAGGCTCGACATTGCTTAACTTTGGTGATCATACAGGAACTGATGTTTCAACATGATATGGCCATAAGCCCTTTAGCTATTGTAATTATTAGCATATTTTTAGTTCCTAATAATATTATTACTTACTATTTTGATTGGATTTTTTTTGTTTTTGTTCCTTTTTCAATGCTTTCATCCCTGCTTCAACTGTCTTTCGTTTCTTTTCTTCAATTATCCACATCATCTTTTCTCATCCTCATTTTACACTTTTACATATCTTTTTGTCATGATGACTTTTGGCATCTTTAAAATAATTTGTTCTTCTCTTTATGCTTGCAGACCATGATAGACAATTTGGATCAAATCTGCAGAAAACTCATAAATACAAAACTTCCATGGCTGGTTGTTTACGGAAAGGGAAAATCCATCTTTTATTTAGAGAGGAAAATGTCTTCAGAACCATGTTTTCCCCTGTGTTGACACAATTAGCAATATTTTCTTACTGCATCAGTGAAAAACATTTGCTTTTTTCTGCACATTTTCATATCTTCACATTTCTTTGCCTCTTCCTCGTTTTTCATCACTTGTTCTTCAATATTATTGTCTTTCACTTCCTTCTTTTTTTTCTCTTTTATTTATCATTATAAACTTTTTTCTTGTCTTACTCCCAACACAAAATTTGTACACACTTTCTTTTTCAAACTTTCACCTTTTCCTGCCAATTCTACTTTCTCCACTTCTGCCTTCCTCCCTCTGCCTGTTCTCACTCCTTCATTTTTCTTTTCTTCTTTTTTCTCCTCTCCTTCATTTTCCTTTCTGTCATCTTTCTTTCATTCTTTGTCTCTTCTTTTTCATTCTCCTTCCTTCTTTTATCAATATTTTTCTCCTCCCCTTTATTTTCTCTTTCATCATCTCTCTTTTTTCTTTTTCTCCTTTCTTTCACTTTCTCTTCCATCATGTGTCTTTCCCTCTTTTTATCCTCCACTTCATATTCATTCTTTCTTTTCTTGTTTCTCTTTTCCTTCATCTTCCTTCATTCTACTTTCCTTCATTCTTATTTCTTTTATCTTTCTTTTTCTCCTCCTCTTCAGTTTCCTCATCTCGAATCCTTATATTTTTTTTCATTTACCTCTTTTTTTACCTCTTTTCATTCCTCCTCACCTTACATCTTTTTTGTTCTTTTTGCTTTTTCTTCCTCATTCTCTCCTTCTTCCCCAAAAGCCAACAGACAAATCTATTGATTAGATAAATGCACAATATATTAAACATATATCAAACAACAAACAGCCTAATAGATAAATAAGTAAATAAAGAAATAACGAATAACAGGCTTGAGTTATGACCAAACTTCATAAATTCCTTATGGGAGGAGGAGGAGGTAGGAGAGGAAGAAGGGGAGGAGGAGGAGAAAACCGAACATATATGAACTGCAGGGTTTTTTTTATACTCCCTCCTGTCGACTGGAGAAATTTATGTTGCATTTTGTGGTGTTTGTCCTGAAAATGGGTATAAACCTGTCCGCATGAGTAAAGATGATGGCAGTTTTTATCTGGAGACATCATCTGAATGACCCTGCAGGTGGGATATCCACCTCCAACTATTACTCTTCTATAATGTAACAAACAATGGTGAATGTGTGCGGATTTTACTGGGGGTGGGGACAGGGGGTTATTAAGGAAAAATAAGAACGTAATTTAAAGTAAAAATAAAAAATACAAAAAATACGAGGAGAAGGATTTGTATATTTTGAAGTTTGCATTTGCGAAGAAACCAAAGAGACATGCTTTATCAGTTTCAGAATGATCAAAGGAGAAAAAAAATATGAAAAGAAAAAAAATTGCTTGGGAAGGAAGAAAAGAGAATTTTGCAAAGTAAATATTTGTATATTAATGATAATGAAAAGTGCTTTTAGCAAAAATAAGTAGTAATAATAATAATAAAAAGAACAAAAAAAATGTGAAATTGTACTAGTCTTTATTTTCTCTGTTTATGTCTGTTCCAAAATGGGTACTGGTGGCTTTTAATAGAGTTATACATATTTCCATTAGTGCAATGGTTGGCTCTCTGGCTAGAACAGTGAGCTGTGGGTTTATAAAGATGGAGGTTACAGCCATCAGTACATAACTCATGCAGAAAAATATAGTTTTTGAGGCCTATTGCTTAATTGTCTAAAATGCACCCCTGGGTCCCTAAAACTGGACTAGACCCAAAATATGAATAGTTAATTAATGCTTTGGAATACAAGAGAATATTACAGAAGAGCTTGCTTATTATAATTGAAAAGTTCTTTTCTAAATAGAAATGATCAGATGTTATTTTTCAACAAGACAATGAAAAATTGGCTTATTGACAAATCCATCAGGTTGTTGACTTCATCAAAGTTAAGATTTGAAACCCTTTAGAGGTAATAGTAATATTAGATGTTTCCTTATAAGGAAACATTTGATATTCATTGATTGAACAACCAGTGCTATTCAAATTACACTTTTTTTCACCCCATTGAACAAATCTTTAACAGTAATAGTAATATTAGACAATTTATGAGGAAACATTTGGTATTCATTGAATGAGTAGCCAGTGCCATTGTCAGCTGAAATTTTAAAATGTACATATTTTCTATTGCATTCAGATTAGAGCTTTGGAACAGTTACTTCAATACTTTGGTTTTGTTGCTTTTAAGTCATTTTTCTACAATATGCTTTGTGTCATTTCTCCACCCTTTATTTCTCTTATCCTATTCACAGTAGTCCAGAAGTTTACATATGCTTAGTAATTGGTAGTATAATTTATGTTAGACTTTTTGGTGATCCTTCCAAAAGCTTCTCACAATACGCTACCAGAATTTTTGACACATCCTCCTCCCAATAGAACTATCGTAACTGAGACAAGTTTTTAGATATCATTGCACACATATGCTTTTTCAGTTCTGTCCATATTTTATTGGACTGCAAGCAGTGCTTTATGATACAAAAGTCATTCAAAAAGTTTTAAACCTCACCCAGAAGAAGTTAGAGAAACAAGACAATTTTCAACTATTTTTCAATATAGCTCTCTTCCTTGACAACAATGCACTTGGTCCAACGATGCTTAAGCATTGCAATCTCATAATGGACAAAGGTGGCATCCTGGTCCTCCAAAAACTTCTCCATAGCACATATGATCTCATTATTGTTTTTAAAATAGCAACCACACAGGTGGGATTTGAGTTTAGGAAACAGAAAGAAGTCAGATGGTCTTAAGTCTGATGAGTAAGGGGGATGGGGTAGCAGTTCAAAGCTATAGTTGTAGTGGAATGAAGTTAAGAACTTTTAAAGAAATTTAATTCAAAATTTTCAAATGAAATAAGTTTCAGCTGTATCTAGTTTGGGAAAGGTATGAATCCATCTCTTTTGCCCCAGCTTTTGGTTAAACAGTAGAACTTATATCCGGAAAATCATTGTTAGCTAAAAAATTGTTTCAGCTCTAAATAACCCACAAAGGTTTGATAAGCCGTAAAAATCAAATCAATCAATAATCATAGTAAAGATTCTTTGTCTTAGATCATTTAGGATTACTCCTTTATTTTAGGTCAGTTAGGATTACTCCTTAATTTTGGGTCAGTTAATATTACTCCTTAATTTTAGGTTAGTTAAGATTACTCCTTAATTTTAAGAATATGAAATGTCAGGATAATACTCTGTAATGATTTATTTCTTTACCTTTTATTTCTCTCATCACATTCCCAGTAGGTCAAAAGTAGCAATTGCTTAGTAATTGATAGAATTGCCTTTAAATTGTTTAATTTATGTCAAACCTTTCAGGTAGCCTTCCACATGTTTCATCCTGGGTATGATGATAAACTATATCTGGCAGCAAGCCCTCTCTGTTCAGGAGGCTTTAAAGAATGTTGAACCACCTCTTAATTACTGTTGTTCCCAGGTCCAACCTGACCTGGGGTGGTAGCACCTGTTAGGGTCCCAGTTATAGGCAAATAGTTAACTCCAAACTGGGGTAAAAATGCTATGAAAGTATAAAAATAAGTTTTTATAGTAAAAATACCAGCAATACATTTTTGAAAAGCATACTTGGAGTCATTTCTCATTTGAAAAATCCACTTGTGATGACCTGCTTTTTAAACTATTAAAATTGAAAACCTCCAAAGAAAATTAACATGACCTGTACTATCAAAAAATTATGCCCAAATTCAAGTACTGTTGTAATTGCATTGGTTGTATTTTATTTCTGAGTGGTCGGGGATCTTTATCTATATCTATCAACTCTTTTGTTATATATAAGAAAGAATTCTGCTTTTGAAATCATTAAAAATAAAGTTATACAAAGAAAGTTAATATTACTTAAAAGCTCAATACATTCTTGTTTTTAATTGGTTGTTCATGATCACTGACTGAGATGACCAAAATAGTACATTTAATACTATTAAACATTTACACATACCATCAGAAAATGGTAGCAATATTTAAGTAATTTTTCAGTTGCATTGGTTATATTTTCAGGTTGCCTATTGTAGAATTTTTATCTCTACAATTAACTCTATTATCACATATAGGAAAGAATTTTTCTTTTTAAATTATTAAAAGTAAAACATCCAAAAGAAATCTAATATGATACTTACCTTCAAAAATTGACAGCAATATCTAAGCAATTTTGCAATTGCCTAGGTTTACATTTACAATTAACTCTATTGTTGCCCATTAGAAAGAATTCTATTTCTTAAGTCATTAACACTAATAAACACTGTTCTTCCATGCTATTAAACAGCCAACTCATACAAAGCATATTTGAACAGGATTCTATATACTATTGAATACATATTCAAAAGCTTCTCTTTCGATGATTAGTAACATCAAACAGTAGAGGATTTTATTTATCATTGTTTATAAATGGTGTTCTTCAGATAATGTCTTTTATTAACTTTATAATTATGCCTCTTATTTAATTACAAGTTGTCATTAAATGACAATAATACTTAATTTTATGATTGCTTTTGTTATATTTTCAGCATAATTAAGCTGGGATTTTTATCTTTACAATTAACTCTGTTGTCGCTTGTAAGAAAGAATTTTGCTTTTTAAATTAAAATTCAAACTATCCAAAGAAATCTAACAGATCTATATAGTCAAAAACTGACATCAATATTTAAGAAATTTTGCAGCTGCACTTGTAATATTTTCTGCATAAGTAATCTAAGAACTTTTATCTCTTCAATTAACTCAATTGTTGCACATCAGAATGAATTCTGTTTTCTAAATCATTAAAAGTAAAAAATATCTGAAGAAAGTTGACATGATAGAAAAGAAATAAAAAGCAAGTAATTAACCATCTGAGCCCCCATATTTATAAATAAGATCTTATATTGTTATGGTAACATGAGGTATATTTACTTATTGTCATGTCACCATAAATGAATAACTCCTTACTAAGGAGGCGGGGGGGGGCGATCAAGTTTTGTCATGAATAAATATATCAAAGACATATTGTGTTTTCTGCTATAGAACAGAATTAATTTGGTTAATTTCTTTGCTCTCAGACATAAGTATTCAGTTAAAATGGTGTACAGAAACACTTGATCCATAATCTGCAATGGAAATACAATATTTATAAATTTTGATTTATAAGGCAGCCATAGGATTTGTGAACATCAGCCTCAGTGCATAAAGAATTAAGCTGCTTATTAACAGGGCTGATGTTCAATTCCAGATATTATCCTTAGCTGGTGAGGTGTTTTTAATACGACCATATTTTTAAAGAACAGAAAAATAATCTCATTTTGAACCTTGGCAAAGGACCTTTATATTTAATTCTCATATTAATATTTGGCACTTTTAAATATTTACACTGGCAGAAAATAAATTTACAAGAACCTAAATATATACTTCAAGATAGTGGAGATTAATCGTACAGATAATCTAGCTGAATTCCAGTTAATGATCATATATATATATATATATATATATATATATCAATCAATGAGGATGTGTATATTTTTTAATCATTTCACCCCAAACAAAGCAATAAAGCCACTGACACAAGGGGTTACTGATTGTGAGAGAATATTAAAACAATAAAAGAACAGAAATTAAGAAACTTAAAAACCATATTAACATATGCTCCTTAGATGAAAACTAGCCTGGACTCTCATATACAAGCAAGCATACAGATATCCCCCTGTGATACATTATTTTAAACTTTTTGTACTCCTTGAAATACAGCAATAGTTGTAGGTGGGTTAAGTGATTTAGCCAGAT